TTAATGTTGAAATCACCTGAGACAATCACACTATCACAGAGTTTAGTTAAAATTCCTAACAAATGTTCCAAGTTTAGAAGAAAAATGTTAACATCTGCTTTTGAACTACGATATATACATCCTATAATGATTTTTTTTTGTTTATCATAAAACTATTTATACAATATTCAAAGACTTTTTGATTGCTTTGGATATTAATCGTAACTGGTTGTGATGATAGTCTGTTGTTGAATAGTAGTAAAGTACCACCACCATCAGTGTCATCATCTCGGCAATATGCAGAACCAATCTTGTAGTTTTCTATTTATGTGGATATTCTCCAATTTCCCTTTTTTCAGCCAGTGTTCACAGACAGATATTATGCTAGACTGATTTTGATTTACCAGTTGTTCAAATTCATGTATTTTGTTTCGAATGCTCTGGATATTTATTTGGATTATTTTTATATTTTCTTCTTCTACTGTTGTTGTTTCCTCTGGGATTGGTTGATCTTGTTTTAAACAATGGAATGAGCCCTCTGTATCGGGCTTCGTCGGGTGCGAGAAAAATGGTTCACAATGATCTTTTCTCCCCAGATATCTGGGATCATTATTTTGTTTGTTTCAGAGTCTTTTACTTCAATTTTAAACGAGCTTCTTCTGTATTGACTGCTTTTTGTTTTCATCTTATAGCACTTTGTGTCTACTTGTGTGCAGGATTTTATGTATTCTTGCAGCTCTTTCTCTATTACTACTAGTGAGAGCCCACTTGTTTTTTCGTATCTACCCCCAAAAACCACCCTTGGACCCATTTGCAAGTCGAGTAAGTTGCATTTAAATGTGCTTATGGTGCCTAGGCACATAATTTTCTAATACATTCGGTTGTGAAGAAAATGTCGCAAGAAAAGTAATTTTGGGAAAAATTAATACTTATTGCCAGTTTTTCATTTTTCTTGTTTTACCCCCAAAAGTTACCCTTGCACCCATTTGCAAGTTAAGTTAGGTGCCCTGAAAGGTGTCCATAGTGCCTAGGCACAGTTTGGTCAAAGTTTATTTCGTTGTGAAGAAAATGTCGCAAAGCCACGTAATTCTGAGAAAATTTGACATTTCCAATTTTTTTGTTTCACTTCCAAAAACCACCCTTGGACCCATTTGCAACTCAAGTGAGATGACCCATAATGAGTTCATCGTGTGTAAAAGCATTTTTGACTTCATTTGGTTGAGAAAAATATGTGGAAAGTCCCGTCAGTTGGTGAAAAATAAATATTTCAAATATTTTAGTTCTTTGTTTTCAATATTTTCTTGTTTACCTTCAATAATTGAATTAATTTTATTGTATTTATAAGAAAAGGAATGTATAAGATCTAAAAATAAGACATAAACGACGCCACTGACTGTTCGGGTAGACTCGGGAGCTAACTTTTGGCTGCCAAGTTCACGTCAGTACTTTACATAATAAGTTATTGTTCAAGTACAAATAAGTGGATTGTTGCGGAACTAATGGGTGGACCTCTGCGGGACGAGCGCAGCGAGTTCCGTAGCCATCTATTCACCAATATTCTGTTGAACTACTTAAATAAAACACTCATCTGAAACGTGTCGTTTTTGAACTAATGAGAATAACTCACATTTGAGTGAGTCAGGTTAGTATCGTTCTTAAACAACATATTGATGAATTGATGGCTGCGGAACTCGCTGCGCTCGTCCCGCAGAGGTCCACCCATAAGTTTCGCAACAATTCACTCATTTGTACTTGAATAACTTGTTACAATATATTACTAGTTTGGTAAAGTAACATTACTAATTCCTGTTAAAAGGCCAATTGACAAAAAGTGGACAATCTTACAAATTCTGACTTTATATAATAGGTTAATAAGTTATTGTTCAAGTACAAATAAGTGGATTGTTGCGGAACTAATGGGTGGACCTCTGCGGGACGAGCGCAGCGAGTTCCGCAGCCATCAATTCATCAATATGTTGTTTAAGTACGATACTAACCTGACTCACTCCAATGTCAGTTATTCTCATTAGTTTAAAAACTATACGTTTCAGATGAGTGTTTTATTTGAATAGTTCAATAGTATATTGGTGAATAGATGGCTGCGGAACTCGCTGCGCTCGTCCCGCAGAGGTCCACCCATTAGTTCCGCAACAATCCACTTATTTGTACTTGAACAATAACTTATTAACCTATTATATAAAGTCAGAATTTGTAAGATTGTCCACTTTTTGTCAATTGGCCTTTTAACAGGAATTAGTAATGTTACTTTACCAAACTAGTAATATATTGTAACAAGTTATTCAAGTACAAATGAGTGAATTGTTGCGAAACTTATGGGTGGACCTCTGCGGGACGAGCGCAGCGAGTTCCGCAGCCATCTACTCACCAATATACTGTTGAACTGTTCAAGTAAGACATTCACCTGAAATGTGTAGTTTTTATACTAATGAGAATAACTTACATTTGAGTGAGTCAGGTTAGTATTGTAATTAAATAACATATTGATGAATAGATGGCTGCGGAACTCGCTGCGCTCGTCCCGCAGAGGTCCACCCATAAGTTCCGCAACGATTCACTCATTTGTACTTGAATAACTTGTCACATTATGTTACTAGTTTGGTAAAGTAACATTACTCATTCGTGTTGAAAGGCAAATTGACAAAAAGTGGATAATCTTACAAATTCTGACTTTTTATAAGTTATTGTTCGGGTGTTTTTTTATATATTGACATCCCACCTATAGTCTCCACCTTTTAAAATTAGATGAAAGGTGTAAATACAAAAGTTGTACAGTATTGGCTAAATTTTTAGAATCCATAGTCAGAAACAAAAAAATGTCAGAAATGTGAAATGTTGCATGTTTTCAGCTTTTTTTAAATGGGATGCCCTATATTTGGTTCTATATTCTTGAAGAGGACAATTTCCCGATTCCAAAACTATATAGTTTGTCTATTTATCAATGTCAATCAAATCAATAGTTAGGTACCTCAAATTTTACCTGCAGTTTTCACATGTACAGAGTGGGCCAAATTGGACACTTTCTTATGGAAACACCCTTTATTTTTAGAGATAGAAAAAAATGGACCCCCTACTCTGAGGCTCAAATTTCATGAAATCTTGATTGGTGCAAACCGCATTTTGATATCTTCAACCGTTTAGCCGCTAGAGGGCGATTCTCGATTTTGAGCAATACTGTAAAGCCTCCATAACTTTCTTATTTATGAAAATAATTCATTTCCGTAAAGACCTTTTGGAAGCACTTTTTCAAGCAGAATTCAGTGACATTCTCAGTTTTTTTCTGTCTGGCTTCGATTTCGAGATATTGACCAAAATCCGATTTTTTTCAATAGGACACTCTATATATTAGGTAATAGTTCATTAGAAAGCTATGCTTTCGCTGATTTTAATGATACATACTCTAGCGCCTAAACGGTTGAAGATATTAAAATGCGGTTTGCACCAATCAAAATTTCATGAAATTTGAGCCTCAGAGTGGGGGGTCAATTTTTTTCTATCTCTAAAAATAAAGGGTGTTTCCATAAGAAAGTGTCCAATTTGGACCACCCTGTACAGGTAGAATGATTCACAAAATCAGTAGTATAGGGATAGTATTTTTACAATTTTTGGAGCCGAATATATGAGATACTTTTCAATAAAATATGGACAAACTATATATTTTTGGTATCGGAACATTGTGCTCTTCAAGAATATAGACTGAAATAAAGGGCATCTTATTTGAAAAAAGCTGGAAGCATGCAAAATTTCACATTTCTGACATTCAAATTTTGCTTCTGACCATGGTCAATTCAGCCAAAACTGTACAACTTTTGTGTTTACACCTTTCTTCTACCTGTAAAGGTAAAGGCTAAAGGTGGGGTGTCAATATATAAAAAAAAACACCCTGTGGAAATAAGTGGATTATTGCGGAACTTATGGGTGGACTTCTGCTAAGACACTCACGTGAAACGTGTAGTTTTTGAACTAATCAGAAAAATTCACAACTGAGTGAATCACCTTAGTATTGTACTTGAACAACATATTGGTGGATAGATGGCTGGGTCCACATTTAAATTTTTGCGGAATAATCTCTAACCAAAATATAGTAAACAATATCCTTTTTTTTTTTTTAACATAACGCCATCTAATTATGCAAATTGACTGCCTGAAATTTATTACAATAATAAATTGCTAAGATGAGCAGATCAGGAATTTGTTTTTCACTTTTACAAGTCATTATTGTTTTGGACAAAATAAATTATGAAACAAAATATTGGACATCAACAATGGACAGAAAAGCTGGATAATGATGACAAAAAAATTCAAATTGGGTAGAACATTACCAGCTAACTACTTCCTGTAATAAAATAAAATCGCTATCCATAGTGAATTGTAAATCACAATAATGAGTCAAATAAAATATTATAAACGCCATAACAATTTAACGATTGCGGCTTGAAGATTAATGTTTTAATTACGTTTTTTCCTTGCAACAAAATAATCTTAGTTAATTAATACATTATTATTGGTCAACGAACTTCACAAATTCTCTGTTTTATAATATCTACAAAAATAATTCTTGGCAGCATTATCTATATTATTTGTTGATACTAGATACAAAAAAAAAATTTGGGAGCTAATAATAGATAAAAAATGTCTCGAATCGAGGGTATAACATACATAGATATCGTATATTATTTCGAAAGATAATCATTTGATTTTGATGACATATATTTTTTAATCAATTCATTAATCACAATGCAAATTTATTGAAAAGTGAAAATTACAGCACCTAAATTTTCATTGCATAATAATGTTGGGCTAATAGTTAAAAGATCTTGACTTATGTGATGTGGTGTTACACTTTCTCGACTACTTATAAAGAAATTTTCTTTTATAATTGAATAGATGATAGAGGTTTTTTTATTATAATCATTAAACAAAGTAGGTATACTTTTGAATTAGTGATAGAAATTTTAAATAAATTCTAATTAATAAGTATTTATTCGTTAAATAAAACTTACCTTTATTAATCATCAAAGAAATGTCCACATATAAATTATTTTTATCGTCGAGCACATGCTTTTCACTTTGCAATAGGTATCAGCAAATCCTCTCACCAGCATCGGCCGACATTTCGTTACTGAATTATTATTTGTTGAATCGAAACGTTTTGTCCACTTTGAAATTGGTTTCTTTTTGCTTGTCACAGGGTCTTGGAAAACCAGAAACAGACAATACCTACCTAGTATGATTGGTCATTTTATAAATAATTTAATTCATTATCTACTTTTATATTGTTTTTCTTTAACTACTGGTGTAAATGATTTTTTTATAGGCAAACATCTTTTCAGTATTGTCTTAATTTGAGTTAAGTATTTTACATATTTTTTTGGAGTTTTTCAATAATCAGACTCATTCTATTCGTTTTTCAATTATTTCTGTAATTACTTTTTTTGAACAAAAACTCAAGAGCCTGGAATAGGCAAAAGTTAAAAGAACTGAGAAATGAATAGGAAAAATTTAAGAGAAAATTACTAAAATAATAAACTCTCAAAGGACTTGAACTAAACCGTGTGCAAGGTAATTGTTGGAATATAAAAATAAAACACAAATTACAAAAAAAGTCACTTAAAAGTTTATATTTTTAAACACTAATTTGAGTAAAAACAGTCTATACAAGTTAGAAAATTGTTAGCGCGATAAAAAATAACGCATATTTACAAATACATAATTATAGTATAGTATAGGCACATGGGGGTGAATTGTTTTTAAAGCTTCATAAATTGTTTAATCTGAAGTCGTTAGATCTAGAAAAAGCTATCACAAAAATTTCAAATAACTATAGCAACCTTTCAATTCAAAAGAAAATAACAGCTAAAAAATTTCAATTGTATAAATAACAGTGAGTGTTAAATATATAGACAAAACTTAAAATACATTAATTAATTATTAAAAATTGCACTTTTTTTGCAAGATTTTTGTAATACAATTAACCTAATGTCAGGAGAAAAATAATAAATTAAACTAAAGTTGAAACTTAAATTAATGAGGTATAATTAAAAAAAATGTAAAAAAATGGTAGATATGGCACAGAAAAAAAATCCTTTGTGCTATTGAACGATTCAAGAATCCGAATCGCAACGTGGGTTCGCGACAGGGCTGGGAGGCGGTGGCAAAGGGCTAAAATAAGTGGAGCTGCGCGAACTCGGACTCGGAGGGCAACTCTCTTGTTGATAATGAGATCTGGGAGTAGGGGGCGGCGGAAATGGACCTTCATATCTACTACGATTCAAAGGGTAGTTGTAGTCGCTCTCATCGTTCACGTCTGTCGAGTTTGGAGTAGGCGGCGGCGGCTGGTTGATTGTTCTACAATTTAATTTGTTTATTAACAGACTTGCCATTTAATGAACTAAAATTACAAAAATATATAACATCACTTAACAAAGTAAGACAAAAAAAATTAAATTACAACTACGAAAAATAGAAATAGATTCATCCAGCCTTTTCAGTAATTTAATACAATTTAAAAATTGACTGTATAAGTCTCTTGAAACAACAAAGAAGATCAGCACTACTACAGTTTGAATTTGCCAGCCCACATATTCTGGACATAGAACTATTTACCCCATAGTTAGTTCTATGAAAATCTATTGCAAATAAATCATGCTGACGGGTTAATCTTTGGGGTACTCTAATCAGCGTTGCCAGTCTAGTACAATTGTGCTAGATCTAGTACCTTTTCAAAGAATTTGGTACGTTAGTACGTTTGACAACAAATCTGGTACTTTTTTGTGAAATTTTCGACACATAAATTTTCAGATTTTATGATTTTAGTATCGATACCGTCTCGAACCCAAGCATGTTTCGAGGGCGCGTTCATAATGACGGGCTTCGGCTATATTTGCCTGTCTTCTTTTTTTTTTCTGAACAAAGATCGAAAACGTCTTTTATAACAACGCTTCCAAAACCGTGTTTATAAAAATGTGTGTATATTATTCCAAAATATACTATAGGCCTTTTCGGAAACGCTCATCCGATATACCAGTTGATGTTTTGTGTCATTTTTTAATCGTATCCATTAAAAAGAGATGAAAGACTGCTGTTGATCGAATTAGCGTTCCCGAAAAGGCTTTCTGTTTCTACTTTTATTATTTTTTGAATCCAACACCCAACCTTATTCAAAAAAAAAAAATCTAGTACATTTTCACGAAATTTAGTACATTTTTCATAAAATTCTAGTACGTAACCTGAAAACATTCTGGCAACGTTGACTCTAATATTAATATTATTACTCAACAATTCAGGGCTGTCAATCATGACATTTACAATTTTGAACAGAGTATCAAATTGAGTCCTTCTAACTTCCAAAAGTGGTAAATTCATCTTTTCGTACAAATGTTTATAATTAATATCTTCCATGAGAATTCCCAGTTGAAAATTTATAGTTCTCAAAAATCATTTACCTGGAACGTGTAGGCTTTGAACTAATGAGAAAAATTCTCAATCAGGTTAGTATTGTACTTAAATAACATATTAGTGAATAGATAGCTAAGTCCACCCATAAGTTCCGCAACAATTCGCTCGTTTGTACTTGAATAACTTATCACAATATATTACTAGTTTGATAAAGTAACATTACTAATTCCTGTTGAAAGGCAAATTGACAAAAAGTGGATAATCTTACAAATTCTGACTTCATATAATAAGTTATTGTTCAAGTACAAATAAGTAGATTGTTACGGAACTTATGGGTGGACCTCTACGGGACGAGCGCAGCGAATTCCGCAGCCATCTACTCACCAATATACTATTGAACTGTTCAAGTAAGACATCCATTTGAAACGTGTAATTTTTAAATTAATGAGAATAACGCATATTTAACTGAGTTAGTATCGTAATTAAACAACATATTGATGACAAGATAGCTGCGAAACTCGCTGCGCTCGTCTCGCAGAGGTCCTCTCATAAGTTCCGCAACAATCTAAACGTTTTTACTGGAATAACTTGTCACATTATGTTACTAATTTGGTAAGGTAACATTACTAATTCCTGTTGAAAGGCAAATTGACAAAAAGTGAATAACCTTACAGTTTGACCCCGTTCAATTTCAAGCGTTCGAGTGTAAAACGCATAAAGTATGACAGGTGTGAAAAGTGACACTCGAAAATCTGATCCAAGAGGACGATTTTAACAAATTTTATGAAAGTGACAATATCTCGGAAACCATCGATTTTTTACTAAGGTCATATTATGTTTTTCTGAATGCTAATGAGTTGCTCCATCAGCCCTTTCAGTATTATCGTTGACTTTCCAAACACCCTGTATATATAATAAGTTATTGTTCAAGTACAGGGTGTTTTTTTTATATATATTGACACCCTACCTACAGCCTTCACCTTTAGAAGTAGATGAAAGATGTAAATACAAAGGTTGTACAGTATTGGCTAAATTTTTAGAATCCATGGTCAGAAACAAAAATTGAATGTCAGAAATGTGAAATGTTGCTCGCTTTCAGCTTTTTTTAAATGGGATGCCCCATATTTGTTTCTAAATTCTTGAAGAGCACAATTTCCCGGTTCCAAAACTATATAGTTTGTCTATATTTGTTTGAGCCGTCTCCGACATATTTGGTTCTAGAAATTTTAGAAATAGGTACTAGCAGAGAAGCCAAGTACATACCTTAAATTTTACCTGCAGCTTTCGCTTGTATAGGTAGAATGGGTTCACAAAATTAGTAATAGGATAGTATTTTTACAGTTTCTGGAGCCGAATATATGAGAGACTGTTCAATCAAATATGGACAAATTATATATTTTTGGAATCAGGGCATTGTGCTCTTCAAGAATATAGAATGAAATATAGGGCATCCCATTTGAAAAAAGCTGGAAGCATGCAAAATTTCACATTCCTGACATTCAAATTTTGTTTCTGACCATGGTTTCTGAAAATTCAACCAGACTTGTACAACTTTTGTATTTATACCTTTATTTACCTGTAAAGGTGAAGACTGTAGGTGGGGTGTCAATATACAGGGTGTCCTTAGATAAACTGACACATTTTAGAGGTTAATATCTCGAAAACGAGAAAAGATAACGGGATGCGGTTTTTTCTGGAAGAATAAAGATTTTTTAAAGTTTTTTTTCATGATATTGACGAATCCTGAAATTTGGTTTTAAAGACATTCGATTTTTTGAAATAATAACATACTGCCTTATTCTTGATGAAACATCCAGTATATTTTGTCATCATCAGAAAGCGTGACTTTTCTACTCCACAAAAATGTTTAATTTTTTTCAATTATCATGAAATTGAATCGTTAAAATTGCACTTGGTTGAAGAGCGTACCGTCGACTGGACAAAAAAAATTATAAGAATTAATTTGTGTTTTAAATGCACTTATTTTTGTTCAATTCTTGTATTATTAGTTAACTATGCCCTAATTAGTTATTAAAAGTATTAAACACAAATTGAATCTCAATTTTTTTTTTTAGTTAGTCGATAGTATTCCTTTCGACAACGTGCAATTTTCACGATGCAAGTTCAAGATAATTGAAAAAAATTATACATTTTTGTAAAGTAGAAAAATCAGGCTCTCTGAAAATGACAAAAGATACGGGGTGTTTCATTAAAAATAAGGCAGTTATTTTATTTCAAAAAATCGCATGTCTGTAAAACCAAATTCCAGCAAATTTCAGGATTCGGCAATAATGTGGAAAAAAACTTTGAAAAATCCCTATTCTCACAGAACAAACCGCATCTCGTTATCTTTTCCCGTTTTCGAGATATTTACCTACAAAATGTGTCAGTTTATCTAAGGACACCCTGTATAAAAAAACAACTTGTACCTACCTATTAAAAACCACCTTATTCTCCTAATAGGCGGGCGGCAGAGGTCCATTTTACGTTCAGTAATCCAATATTTTGGTATAACTTATTGAAACCCACATCATCTTATTTATTAGGTCATAATAAAAGAAAAATGTATATACAGCGACTTTTAGTTCTGGTCGAGACAAAAGTTACGTCACAAAAACGGAAAAATAAGGTTCAAAAATCGTCAATATTTTTCCTACGAGCCTACGGAAAAAGCCCATTTTTCACACGCCATGAGGTGCGGAAACATCCACACTAGTTTGTAAAAAAAAATCCGCAAGCCAATGCGTGCGAAAAATGGCGTTTTTCTCACGCTTGTAGGAAAAATTGTTCGATCTAAGTTTTCTGCACCCATTAGGAAAATAACTATTTCCTACGGGCCGTGCAAAAAATTGTAAATTGTCGCAGTAGTGCGAAAAGCTCATTTCCGTAAAGAAAATTACTACTTTACGCACTAATGCGCAAAATTCTTACTGCAAGTGTTGAATAAATTACTATTATTCTATCGCTATCGCGAATGGTAAAATATCATTTAATCGACTTAAAACTCGTTGTTAAAGTAACACTTTATTTGAAGTAGTGGAATCGAACAATTTTTACCAACTCATTTGTCAATTTTACCCACTCATACGTTAATTTCACCCACTCATACGTCAATTTTGCCCACTTGTTCTCTTCTCTTATAATAATTATAGTGTTTTTGACAGAAATCTTATATGTTGCATGATTGACAACACCAGAAATGTGTCAGTTTGTTAGGTTCTTTGTCAATTTGTCATAATTTAGCACATTTTAGTTTATGATTTTAGTAATTGTGATAAATAAAAAGTGGCTCAAGAATAAAATAGAATATTACACACAACGGTAAAAAAGCTTTACCTGTTCATGGAATTAATCCACTCGCTCCTTCGTCGCTCGTGAATCAACATTTTCCACTCACAGGTAAACCATCTTTTTACCGTCTTGTATAATATAGTTATTTTCCTAACAAGTGCGCAAAGTGATACTTTCCCGCACGAAAAAGCAGTTAGACGAACGACGCGAAGCGGAGTTCGGATAAGCTTTGAGTGCGGGAAAGACACTTTGCGCAAGTGTTAGGAACAATACTTTTTCTATGAGTGTTCGAAGATTTGCATAGCAATCCACTATAACTGTACCTAATCTTCTTAAATGTTTCCAGATGCTCAAGACTCAAGACTAATAATTTTCTCTCCTAGTTCAATGTGTTGTGTTTTCAATTTTTATTTTTTTTTTCAGTGATCAGCTTGACTTTATTTGCAACATTGGTTGTATTAGCGAGGTTTGCTTAAAATTCGAAGAAGTCGTTGAGTTTGTTTTTCTTGCAAAATTGAGACTTGATTTACCAGGATGATATTTTTTCATGTAACTTGTTAAATTAGTTTAACGTAGCCACAAGTACAGCATCTTCCGAAAATATATTATCCATTTTTGGGATATTGCTTTGTCTATTGGTGTCTGATTCATTCTTTCCGCAGCAGCATTAAGTTGAGGAGTATATGGAGGACTATAACTTACAGTCCAACTTTTATATTCTGATACTCTAAATGAATGTGAGTTGGTGACTCCCCATGCCAACGGTCACCTGACCTCACATCTATTTTTGCTGGACTTTTCCTCCCCTCGCTCCTTATATGGAAAGTGTCAAATTAAAAAAGCTAAACATTACCTGAATGCCTTTCTTGGAACAAAAATAACATCATGCCCTTCTTTCTGAATAGATAAGTTTTTCCAGAAACCCACATAACATTGAGAAATCGAGTATAAATGCGGTAACTATGCATAACAAAAATGAGTGCGCAAAGAGTTTCCGTGCGCAAAGTAATAACTTTGCGCACGCAAGTAGAAAAAATAACTATTAAGTTTCAATAATGCATATTTTATAATAGTGTATCCTAGATACATATAGACCGTCAGCTAATGACAGATTTTGCTGACCGATTTTCTTTTGGCGCTATGCACGAATGGTTTTGTTAAAAAAAATTGGCTCAAGACGAAATTTTTTTGATTATTTTTTTGATTATGCCACTGGATTCTCCTTGAAAAACTGCCTATAGAAAGTATATTTTGTTTTTGGATGTCTTGAATAATAAGGAAATTAGAGAGTCTTTTGAAATTGAACAAAATTTGAAAAGTGCCCTGTATTTCCTAAATGCATCAAGTTAGCCGTGATTTGTCCTCGCCATTGTTCCTTTCTCAAAAAAAGAGCTCGAGAGACGAGAATGTGCTCCCAGATTTTTGATATCTCTGCTGGTTTTCGATATAGCCTATTAAAACATCGAAAATGGGTGGGAAAATGGTGGGGAAAATGATATTTAGGATATTCCTAATACTTCCGGAGATATCCGGAAAAAAACGAAATTTTGCAAAATTGTTTTTATTTTTTCCTGACTTTATTTGAAGTGATATTCCAAAATAAATGTCACTTCATCATTGCCATTTTTTCTCCTCTACAAGATGCTACCATTAAATTAAAAATCTGACGTTTCGTCTTTGGGCCACCATCATCAACTCTATTTTTTCAAATACGATCCTGGATTTTTTATTTCAGATTTTTAGTGCTTCTGATGTCCCAAAACCTATGACGTATCGCATTTATTTTCCTACCAAAATTTTTTTCTCTGTCCCTCTCTAACACATTTGGTTCTTATGGAAAGTACCAATAATATAAATTTTTTGAATTAGTGCAATACATCATTGGTTTTGGGACGTCAGAAGCTTATGAAATTCAAAATAAAAAATGAGGGTCCGTATTTAAAAAAATGAAGTTGATGATGGTGGCCCAAAGACGAAACGTCAGATTTTAAATTTGATGGTAGCATCTTGTAGGGGAGAAAAGGTAGCAATGATGAAGTGACATTTATTTTAGAATATCACTCCAAATAAAGTCAGGAAAAAAAAAAACAATTTTGCAAAATTCCGTGTTTTTCCGGATATCCCGGAAATTTTCAGAATATCCTGGATATCAAAGCGGCATTTTGTTGCGCATAAAATTACGCAACTTTGCCCCAATTTAACCAACCCTGTATATCTTACCGTTTCCGAGATCCCAATGATGTGGCTCGAATCTGAAACACCCTGTACATACATTAATGGAGCTATCTTATTAGTTACTATTGATTCAAATAACTTTGTGATAATACTAACTAAACTTAGAAATTGATGGCCTATAATTATCGACCCTTGAAAATTGGAGTTACTCGAGAATCCTTCCATTGTGAAGGGAATGTTCCAGATGACAAAGATACATTATACAATTTTACTAGAATTTCAGACAATATATATTTACACTACAAGTTGTACAAGCAATTCATCAGGAACAGCTGATAGATTTGTTTTAATATTCACGATCGAGTTGAATACATCCATTACATTTTTATATCACAGGTATTAATATCCAGGGTTCTATCACAATCTACTTCTAGTACACCACAGTCTATCTTTCTATAAACAGACACAAAAAATTCCGCATAAAACTGTACAATTTCCTGGGGCTCGTGTGTAGTTAAACTCATACAATTTGGCGAGTCATAGTTACTATTTTTCACGTTTCCAAATTATCATTGATAATATTAGATTGAACCTCAATGACATAATGATCATAGCATTGTTTTATCAAAATTCTACATTGTTTTCCTAAATCACAAAACTCCCCATAGAATTGCGTATTATATGTTTTCTTCCACAGTGTATGTACCCTTTTCTTATTTAGAATAGTCGATTTTAGCTCATCACTATACCAACCAAGAAACCTCTTATTTTTAGAATTTTTTTTTTCTGTAGAGAATAGAATAAAACTCTCGAACGGCTCTCTCAACTTATTCGACATTCAAAATACTATCCCAATCAAAGCATCCTAAGAAATTGTTCAGTTCGACATAATTTGCATACTTATAATCAAGAGATATACAGCAAAAATCCTGAAAAATAGTTGAATCTTACCTGTAATGCCTGTAAGGACGATATCGTGAACTAGGACTGCTAGCTCTTGTTGAAGCTGCAGTTGTAGCTGGACTAGGAGGGGGATTCAGAGTTTCCCTAGGATAACCTCCTCCGCTACTTGAGCCATTTGTATTTGAACTACTCGAAGCACCTGTAATGTGTCTGCTGCGTTCGTAGGTGGATGGACAATTGTCCTTGAGCATTGACATCCTAACTACATCAGGGATTCCTAGAAAAAAAAAAAAAAACATTCAAAAATATATTATTTTTTTTCAATTAACATAGTTATAATTACCTTTTCTTAATTTCAGATTCTTGTTATGTCCGTTAGGATCCAAAGGACTCAAGCTATCTTCTGGCGGCTCTACGACATCTTCGCGCACAGGACAACATTTCTTATCTCTCTGGTAGACAACCACTACCACCAATACCAAACAAATAACGATTAAAAGAGGAACCACCCAAAAAATCGGACTCTTTGAGTCAGTTTGACAGTCCTTTTCGTCTGCGCCATCTGCACAATGTTCATTTCCGTCGCATCGCAAATTAGAAGGAAGACAAACTTTGGTATGCGGACACTCGAAACCGTTTTCGCAACAGTTTTTCTCGTCCGAACGGTCTGTGCAATCTACAATGTTGTTGCAGACTAAGGCCTTGTCGATACAGGTACCATCTAGACATCTGAATTGGTATGGTTGGCAACTTGGACAATCCAGTTCGTCACTTCCGTCTGCACAATCTTTTTGTCTGAAATAGAATTTTTATTCATTCATTATTTATAGAAATTTTGATCATGGGACCTTGCTGGTCATTCAAACCACTTGATGATGGAGGTAATCAAGGACTGTTATCCTAATACATAAACATTAATGCATGTGACAAATATCACATTTAGTTTCTGAACTTTCCTTTCAATGAACAATAATTGGAATATGTTTAATAATTTTTCATGAAATTAATTATTATTGTAATGTTAAAATTACCTATCACATCTCCAAGATATAGGAATACAATCCTTCACATCAGAAGAAGCCACCGTGCAAGAAAACCGTTCCCGGCCACAATTAGGTATTGTCTGACAAGACCTTTTGTCCTCTTGCAACATTTTACCATTAGGACAAGCACATTGCGGCATTGTACCTAAAAAAAATCAAAACTAAATTGTACAATAATAATAAACCAAAGCACCACTGTTACCATTCAAAACACAAAAATGTGAACACCTCTTTTGATCTGCGCAACTATGATTCTCAAGCTTTTTAACTGATATCAAGTCCACAATGTGTGAAGCTTGAATTGATAAAGTTGATCTAGATTTTCCAGTTGTCAGCTCCAGTCTTTGTAGCTGATTTAAGTCTCTGTCTATCCAATATAGCCAGCCAGCGTGCACTGTCAAATGTGATATTTTGTGGCTGCTTTCGTTGACAACCACGTGCTTATTTTCTCCATCAATATTACTTATATAAATGCTGTGTCCCTGAGACCAAACTATTGAATCGTTTTCAGTATCCACTGCTATAGCGGCAATATCGTCAGCTTTTGTTATAATTATTCTATGAGATCCATCTAATCTTGTTCGAATTAATTGAGGACTTGTACCCACATCAGTATAAAATAATAATCTTTTTGTAACATGTATTACAATTAATCTAGGCTTCTCGCTGTCACTGTTTTTGAGACTACCAAAAGGATTATTGTTGTCCAGCCTAGTTACATTGATGACATTTTGAGCGGCGCATGTCCAAAATAATAACCTGCCAATTGTATCTACAGCAATATCATAAGGCTTGATATCGTGTCCGTTTTGAACAAATAGGCTTGTTACAGTTGTAGTGTTCATTTTTGAGGATTTTATTGCGTGGACTTTACCATCGATCTAGCAAGCAAAATATTTGAGTTATAATAATAATAAAATCGAAGCAAATAATTACTTACCCAATATAAAGCGTTATTTTTAGGATCAAAATCTATGGCTCTAACAGCTTTTAGGCCTTGCACTGGAAGCACTGCTTCGGGACAATCTGAAGTGTCTGGGACTAGACGGACTACTAAATTTTTTAGACTGTAGATCATGAAGCTAGTGGGAGCTGAAACAAAAAATTGTAATCAAAAGTGTCCAATAATCAATCAATTTAATGTATGTTATGTGATAATTATCCAATTTACTGTTATTTTGTAGTACATTACAGGAATTTCCATACGTCCAGATGATTTGGTGTTTTTTTCGAAAAACTATTGAGAAAAAAAATTCGAAAGTTTTAGGGTGAAAAGAGAAAGAAAATGAGCTCATCATAATAAAATTTCGAATTGATTCAGTGAAAAACAACAACCTGCGGAATTCTAGAAAATCGACTTGAAAAACCAAAATTAAGCAGAATGCACCCTTGGACATTTTGGTATTTTTTGACAAAACTGATGAAGGGAAAATTTTGAAACTTATGAGATGAAAAGAGAAAGAAAATGAGCTCATCACATTGAAATTTCGAATTGATTCAGTGAAAAACAACAACCTGCGGAATTCTAGAAAATCGACTTGAAAAACCAAAATTAAGCCAAATACACCCTTGGACATTTTGGTATTTTTTGGCAAAACTGATGAAACGAAAATTTTGAAACTAATGAGATGAAAAGAGAAAGAAAATGAGCTCATTACATTGAAATTTCGAAGTGATTCAGTGAGAAACAACAACCTGCGGAATTCTAGAAAATCGACTTGAAAAACCAAAATTAAGCAGAATACACCCTTGTATTTTTTGACAAAATTGAAGAGGGGAAAATTTTGAAACTTATGAGATGAAAAGAGAAAGAAAATGAGCTCATCACATTGAAATTTCGAATTGATTCAGTGAAAAACAACAACCTGCAGAATTCTAGATAATCAACTTGAAAAACCAAAATTAAGCAGAATACACCCTTGGACATTTTGGTATTTTTTGACAAAACTGATGAAACGAAAATTTTGAAACTAATGAGATGAAAAGAGAAAGAAAATGAGCTCATTACATTGAAATTTCGAAGTGATTTAGTGAGAAACAACAACCTGCGGAATTCTAGAAAATCGACTTGAAAAACCAAAATTAAGCAGAATACACCCTTGTATTTTTTGACAAAACTGATGAAGGGAAAATTTTGAAACTTATGAGATGAAAAGAGAAAGAAAATGAGCTCATCACATTGAAATTTCGAATTGATTCAGTGAAAAACAACAACTTGAGAAATTACAGAAAATCAACTTTCAAAGTCAAATATAAGGAAAAAGCACCCTTGGACATTTTGATATTTTCCAGTAAAATTGAAGAAAGAAAAATTTTGAAACTTATGGGTTGAATAAAGAAAAAAAAGGAGCTCATCATATTGAAATTTCGAATTGATTCAATGAAAAACAACAACCTAAGAAATTCCAGAAAATCAACTTTTAAACCCAAATATAAGGAAGAAGCACCCATGAATATTTTGGTATTTTCTGGCAAAACTGAAGAAAGAAAAATGTTGAAACCTATGTGGTGAATAGGGAAAGAAAAAGAGCTTATCATATTGAAATTTCGAATTGATTCAATGAAAAATAACAACCTGAGAAATTCCAGAAAATCAACTTTTAAACCCAAATATAAGGAAAAAACACCCTTGAATATTTTGGTATTTTCTGACAAAACTGAATAAGGAAAAATCTTGAAACTTACGGGGTGAATAGAGAAAGAAAAGGAGCTCATCATATAGAATTTCGGATTAATTCAATGGAAAACAACAACTTGAGAAATTACAGAAAATCAACTTTCAAAACCAAAAATAAGGAAAAAGCATCCTCGGACATTTTGGTATTTTCTGACAAAATTGAAGAGGGGAAAATTTTGAAACTTATGGAATAAATAGAGAAAGAAAAAGAACTCACCATATTGAAATTTCAAATTGATTCGGTGAAAAACAACAACCTGAGAAATTCTAGAAACTCATCTTTCAAAACCAAAAATAAGGAAAAAGCACCCTTGGACATTTTGGTATTTTTTGGTAAAACCGATGAAGAAGTACCTTATACCAAAATTTCATATTAATTCGGTAGAAAACGTCAACCTGAAAAATTCTATAAAATCAACAAAAAATACTGACAATTAGCACTCACTTGCTCAGTTACCAACAAATTTTACTCACGTTTGCACTCATTCTCATGTAAAGTATAATGAGTAGGACAAGCACAAGTATACTTGGTATCCTCCTCTGGACCATCAGCGGGCAAAGCCAGACAAAGATTGGAGCACCCGCCATTACTGGTAGCACACTGATTGGTCTGATTTTGCTTCATTGAATGATACACCAACAAATCTGTGATATTTTCCGATAAGGTGGTGATTTTGGTTCTAGAAGAACCATCGTATTTGACGGCTCTGAATATTTCAGCAGTTTTTTCGTCGCTCCAATAAATGTGGTCTTTGTAAAGTGCCAACCCAACTGGATTCAAAGTTGGTTCTTTGATGATGATTTTTTTGTCGTTTCCATCCAAATCTGCTGACCAAATGGCTGGCGAGTCAAGCTCAATCCAATACAATCTTGAAAAAAAACTCTTCATTGATCAAATATAACTCAAATGAAATTTACCTTTTCTTATCATGATCCAAAGTTAGTCCATTAGCTTTACCTATTGTAGAAAACAATTTACGTTGTTTTGCACCATTCATGGAAGCTTTTTTGATTAAATTTGATTGTCCCCATTCAGACCAATACATGTAACTATTAATAAATTAAAAATATAAAACCACACATTTTCAAATAAACTTCTTACCCTGCAACTGGATCCAATACAATACTACGAGGTTCGTAAACCTCGTCCCACAACAAAGTGCGTCTGGATGTTCCAATTAATCTTGAAACTTCGATTCGGTGTGAAACTGGATCTGTCCAATAAATGTTCATACCTAACCAATCAACTGCAATGCCTTCTGGAAAAGCCAGCCCTAAATCGATAACTTTCTGAGGCTCAGAACCGTTTATATACGCTCTCATTATTGTTTTCAACTTGCTGTCGCTCCAATAAATTCTTCTAGAGTTTATATCATAATCTATAGAACTAGCATGTCTTATATTAGGTATGTGCAAATTATTTTCAACAGGTTCATTTTCAATACTAATCCTTCCAATACTATCGTTTTTTGTGTATAGCAAAAATGCTTCTGGTTTGATACAATTTTGCTTATCTTTGCTCAACTCATGGTCAATTTGGCAAGCGCACGTTCTAGTTTTATTATATCTGTGCAAGCAAAGCTGCGAACAATTCCCGTTGTTTTCTTTGCAAGGATTCCAGCCAGTTGGTGGTACTAATTTAATGGCTTTCAGTCCCATTACGTTTTCCATTTGGTCTACTATTACTTGTCTGTTGCCTCCAGGCTCTTTACGAGCTCGATCGATGGCCCTTCTTTGCCAATCGGTCCAATACAAATAATCCCCCATAAGGCTAAATCCAAAAGGATGAGGCAGGGTATCTGTAATCAAAGCTCTTCTATCTGTCCCATCCATGTTGGCATATTCGATTTTGTCGGATTTTGCGTCGCACCAGTAAATTTTTTGATTTTTCAGATCCAAAGTTATACCATTGGGCCAGCCCAAGTTGTCGTGAACTATGAAAATGCGCTCGGAACCGTCCAGATTTGATCTTTCTACTTTTGTGTCTTTTTCATTCCAGTCTGACCAAAACAACCAACCTAGTTCAGAAGCGACAGCTATACCTCTTGGATCTATGAGACCGTCACCTATAAGGGGAATATCAAGTTCAAGTTGTATAATAGTACAGCGGATTAGCTAACTTATTGTGCACTTTTTGATAAAGGCACCAAATTTGGCACAGAGGTAGATCGATGTAATATGAACAAACTTGGATGTGGAGCCATCGGCCAACTGCCTCCCGGCGGCCGTGGCGGCGTTTTTCCAAAATGGCCGCCAGTGGACACCCCGAAAGACAACGGAAGTTAGATAAAGTTTGCTGCTGAAGGTTCTAGTGAATGTTTATTGATTGTTTTAATAAAAACATGCCCGAAAGTTTATTAGTAATACCACAGTTTATACCGTACAACGAATCAGTTCTTTAACTCTCCACCTCTTTTGAAGCCATAGAATTCAACCAATAGGAACACATTCCTCGTATTTTGGGCATGCGCAACATGCCGATTGATATGAGGACGATTTCTTTTATTTATAAATAACTGAACCGCACCGGTTTCCGGTCTAGTTTTGTCTTTTTCTGTTACGACAGTTTCGCCACAACAGAGAGAGATAAACAGATGCCGTACCTGATTAAATCAGAAAGCGAACACACCAGTCAGGGCTGGTCTATCGATTTTTCGAGTAGCACGCGGTCGGTGGTCGCTGACCTTTGCAGTTTATTTATTATTGATGGCAAGAGGTAAACCACCATCCCAGAATTGGTGCAAACAATTCCTCAAAGGGGAATTTTTTTCGCAGAATTCCTCAAAATTCCTGCAAATTCCTCGAGATATCCTATCACAAATTCCTCCAAATATCCCACCACAAACTTCTCCAAATACCCCACAAATTCCTATAAAAAAAAGGAAAATTTTGAAACTTTCTACATGTAAAGAGGAAGGTGAGAAGCTCATTTTCCCAAAATTTCAAATTTTTCCAGTGGAAAATAACAACATAAGGATTATTGGAAATCAACCTACAATAACTGAATTAAGTGAAAATACAGTCTCACATATTTCAAAGTTTTCCTGGAAAACTAGTGAAGGGAACATTTTGAAACTTTTTGCATGTTAAGAGGAAAATGAGAAGCTCATTTTCCCAAAATTTCAAATTTTTCTAGTGGAAAACAGCAACATGAAAAATCTTGGAAGTCAACCTACAAAAACTGAATTATTATAAAATAACAGAGTCTCACAGATTTCAGTTTTCCTGGAAAACTAGTGAAGGGAACATTTTGAAACTTTTTACATGTAAAGAAGATAATGAGAAGCTCATTTTCCCATCATTTCAAATTTTTCTAGTCGAAAATAACAACTTGTGGAATATTGGAAATTAACTTACAATAACTGAATTAGGTGAAAATACAGTTTCACATATTTCAGAGTTTTCCTGGAAAACTAGAGAAGGGAAAATTTTGAAATTTTTTGCATGTTAAGAGGAAGCTGAGAAGCTCATTTTCCCAAAATTTCAAAATTGTCCAGTGGAAAATAGCAACATGAAAAATCTTGGAAATCAACCCACAATAACTGAATTAATTGAAAATACAGTCTCACACATTTCAAAGTTTTCCTGGAAAACTAGTGAAGGGAAAATGTTGAAATTTTTTGCATGTTAAGAGGAAGCTGAGAAGCTCATTTTCCCAAAATTTCAAAATCGTCCAGTGGAAAATAGCAACATGAAAAATCTTGGAAATCAACCTACAATAACTGAATTAATTTAAAATACAGTCTCACACATTTCAAAGTTTTCTGGAAAACTAGCGAAGGGAACATTTTGAAACTTTTTGCATGTAAAGAAGAAGGTGAGAAGCTCATTTTCCCAAAATTTCAAATTTTTCCAGTAGAAAACAGCAACATGAAAAATCTTGGAAGTCAACCTACAAAAACTGAATTATTATAAAATAACAGAGTCTCACAGATTTCAGTTTTCCTGGAAAACTAGTGACGGGAACATTTTGAAACTTTTAACATGTAAAGAGGAAGATGAGAAGCTCATTTTCCCATCATTTCAAATTTTTCTAGTGGAAAATAACAACATGTGGAATATTGGAAATTAACTTACAATAACTGAATTAGGTGAAAATACAGTTTCACATATTTCAGAGTTTTCCTGGAAAACTAGAGAAGGGAAAATTTTGAAACTTTTTGCATGTAGAAAGGAGGGTGAGACGCTCATTTTCTTAAAATTTTCCAGTGGAAAATAGCAACATGAAAATCTTGGAAATCAACCCACAATAACTGAATTAATTGAAAATACAGTCTCACATATTTCAAAGTTTTCCTGGAAAACTAGTGAAGGGAACATTTTGAAACTTTTAACATGTAAAGAGGAAGATGAGAAGCTCATTTTCCCATCATTTCAAATTTTTCTAGTGGAAAATAACAACATGTGGAATATTGGAAATTAACTTACAATAACTGAATTAGGTGAAAATACAGTTTCACATATTTCAGAGTTTTCCTGGAAAACTAGAGAAGGGAAAATTTTAAAACTTTTTGCATGTAGAAAGGAGGGTGAGACGCTCATTTTCTTAAAATTTTCCAGTGGAAAATAGCAACATGAAAATCTTGGAAATCAACCTCCAATAACTGAATTAATTAAAAATACAGTCTCACACATTTCAAAGTTTTCCTGGAAAACTAGTGAAGGGAAAATGTTGAAATTTTTTGCATGTCAAGAGGAAGCTGAGAAGCTCATTTTCCCAAAATTTCAAAATTGTCCAGTGGAAAATAGCAACATGAAAAATCTTGGAAATCAACCTACAATAACTGAATTAATTTAAAATACAGTCTCACACATTTCAAAGTTTTCCTTGGAAACTAGCGAAGGGAACATTTTGAAACTTTTTGCATGTAGAAAGGAAGGTGAGACGCTCATTTTCCCAAAATTTCAAATTTTTCTAGTGGAAAATAACAACAGGAGGAATATTGGAAATCAACTTACAATAACTGAATTAACTGAAAATACAGTCTCACATATTTCAGAGTTTTCCTGGGAAACTAGTGAAGGGAACATTTTGAAACTTTTTGCATGTAGAAAGGAAGGTGAGACGCTCATTTTCCCAAAATTTCAAATTTTTCCAGTAGAAAACAGCAACATGAAAAATCTTGGAAGTCAACCTACAAAAACTGAATTAGTATATAACAGTCTCACACATTTCGAAGTTTTCATGGAAAACTAGTGAAAGGAACATTTTGAAACTTTTTGCATGTAAAGAGGAAGGTGAGAAGCTCATTTTCCCATAATTTCAAATTTTTCTAGTGGAAAATAACGTGGAATATTGGAAATCAACTTACAATAACTGAATTAAGTGAAAATACAGTCTCACATATTTCAGAGTTTTCCTGGAAAACTAGTGAAGGGAAAATTCTGAAATTTTTGGCATGTAGAAAGGAGGGTGGGACGCTCATTTTCCCAAAATTTCAAAATTGTCCAGTGGAAAATAGCAACATAAAAAATCTTGGAAATCAACCTACAATAACTGAATTAATTTAAAATACAGTCTCACACATTTCAAAGTTTTCCTTGAAAACTAGCGAAGGGAACATTTTGAAACTTTTTGCATGTAGAAAGGAAGGTGAGACGCTCATTTTCCCAAAATTTCAAATTTTTCTAGTGGAAAATAACAACAGGAGGAATATTGGAAATCAACTTACAATAACTGAATTAACTGAAAATACAGTCTCACATATTTCAGAGTTTTCCTGGGAAACTAGTGAAGGGAACATTTTGAAACTTTTTGCATGTAGAAAGGAAGGTGAGACGCTCATTTTCCCAAAATTTCAAATTTTTCCAGTAGAAAACAGCAACATGAAAAATCTTGGAAGTCAACCTACAAAAACTGAATTATTATAAAATAACAGAGTCTCACAGATTTCAGTTTTCCTGGAAAACTAGTGAAGGGAACATTTTGAAACTTTTTACATGTAAAGAGGAAGATGAGAAGCTCATTTTCCCATCATTTCAAATTTTTCTAGTGGAAAATAACAACATGTGGAATATTGGAAATGAACTTACAATAACTAAATTAGGTGAAAATACAGTTTCACATATTTCAGAGTTTTCCTGGAAAACTAGAGAAGGGAAAATTTTGAAACTTTTTGCATGTAGAAAGGAGGGTGAGACGCTCATTTTCTTAAAATTTTCCAGTGGAAAATAGCAACATGAAAATCTTGGAAATCAACCCACAATAACTGAATTAATTGAAAATACAGTCTCACACATTTCAAAGTTTTCCTGGAAAACTAGCGAAGGGAACATTTTGAAACTTTTTGCATGTAGAAAGGAAGGTGAGACGCTCATTTTCCCAAAATTTCCAATTTTTCTAGTGGAAAATAACAACAGGAGGAATATTGGGAATCTACAATAACTGAATTAATTAAAAATACAGTCTCACACATTTCAAAGTTTTCCTAGAAAACTAGTGAAGGGAAAATTTTGAAACTTTTTGTATGTAAAGAGGATCATTTTTTTAAAATTTCAAATTTTTCCAGTTAAAAACACTAAGATGAAAAATCTTGGAAATCAACCTTCAAAAACTCTATTCATTATTCTTTTGAATTTTTTAAATTTGACAATTTCCTTTAAAAATTCCTCATAAATTTCTCACAAATTCTCCTAAATTCCCCATAAATTCCTCCAAATTCCCTATAAATTCCATAAATTCTCATAAATTCGGATGAATTCCTACAAATTCCTCACAAATTCCTCTAAATTTCCTACATTTTTGGCAAAGAATTCCTAGGTGGTTCGCCCCTTGAATAATGGTCAGCTGGTGTATTGAATTATTTGGAAGTTGGAAGCGTTATTTTATTATCTTTTAGATTGATTTTTCGGCGATTTCAAGTGATTTGTTTAAGCGTGTTGGATTTTTTGACAATTAATTTGTGAAAAGGTGAACAGTGTTTTCAGTTTTCATTGTTAAAAAACTAGGTTGTGCGGTGCGCTGTTTCATCTGCAAAAGTTACAAGAAAGCCAATCTAGCTTTAGGATATTTTAGCTTTCGAAAAGATGAAAGACTGTGAGTAGATTTTTACATTAAGTGGGATTAAAGTACCTATTGTATGATCTCGAAATAAAGGCAAACAATTTATAAAATCGTCACTCTTATTATAATGTTACTAGGTTGTGCCTTTGTAAATTCAATTATAAGTATAACCTACCTATCTAAGTGAAGAATCTCAGATGCAACTTTTAAATATTATTCGGGTAAATAAAAAGGTATTATATTAAAGTGCTACTTTATTGACGTAACGCTGTTCTATAAATGGCACTTTATTGGTCAATCGGACATAAAAAAATTCAAATAGGTACTTCAATCTATGCAATTTTTCCCTATTTAAACCTATCTGCCTACCAACCAGTATGAGTAAATAACGAAAGTATACAAACCTTGAAACTTGAGAAAAACGCCGAATAGTAGATGCATCACGCGAACCCCATTTCCATTTGAAATTTTGCGGGTCCCTGTCACCCCCGCTTGAGGGTTGACAGGTAGACGATGAAAATACCAATAAAATGTGTCTGTGCCTGAAACCTGGGACGAGACCTGGTGGGAAGTTTTTCGTGCCCTACTCTGTATAACAAATAGACTATCTGGCATGTATTCATTCAAAACCATTGATAAACATTTACTAAAACCTTAAGCAGCAGCAAACTTTATCTAACTTCCGCTGTCTTTCGGGTTGTCCACTGGTGGCCATTTAGAAAATCGCCGCAAAGGACGCCGGGGGGCAGTTGGCCGATGGCTCCACATCCAAATTTGTTCATACTACATCGGTCTACCTCTCTGCCAAATTTGGTGCCTTTATCAAAAAGTGCACAATATGGTGAAATATCCTAGCTAAGCTGCCGCACTATAAGAAGTTTTTTCCTAATCTATTAAAGATTTAAGGGGAATAGAATATGATATGCAACTGCAACGTTTTTTTATAATTTAAATGTGAAATTTGTTTGCTTTTTATTAAATAAAATGACAATATTCTTACCAATAATCACTTTCCTATAACCTCCTTCCAATCTAGCAACTTCAATCCTATCAGTTCCAGTGTCTGTCCAATAAATATTCCTAGAAATCCAATCCAAAGCGATTCCATCAGGATCTTGGATTTCGGTCACTATGACGTCTTGTTGAGAGGTGCCATTCAAGCGCGCTTTTTGGATTTTCTTAACTTCATCATCAGACCAATAAATGTAGTGATCAACCGGATCGAAATCCACTGCTATGGAATATTTTATGTCGCTCAAAGGTATCACTTTGTAGCTGTAATCTGGAGAGTCAAGGTATATTAGGCAGATGTCAGTTCTTCTAGCTAATATTAGTAGTTCTTGGGGTCCTTGAGCGCAAGTTTTATTGTCTAAAAATTAGTATTTTTATTTATTGAAATATATTTAAACATAGTACAAACCTAAAAGTTTAATTCCAATGGGGCAAGCACAAGTATAATAAGGAGGATCAGGAGCTAATAAACACAAATGTGAACAACCTCCGTTATTTTCACAAGCATGAGGAGTAATAGGCTGACGTTGTCTTTCAAATACTTTAATGTCCATTGGATGAGTTGTAACGTAAAATTCTGAAGATTTTTGTGATGTGCCATTTTTTAAATGATCATAAATTGCTCTAGAAATTTAAATGTTTTATAACAATTTTATAAGTTTGAATAAATACATACACATTTTTCCAATCAGTCCAAAATAATTTAAAAGCAGATTGGGTCAAGGCGTAAGGATACTCTGAAGCTATTGGCAATACTGTTGAAATGTTTTTACCATCATAGTCCATTACCTAAATAATCACAGATAAGTTTTCAATAAGTTTAGGCAAAATGCATTTTACCTTTATAAACAACAATTTCCCATCTATCCAATAAATTTTATCATTTTCGTAATCTACTGTAAGCCCGTTTGGCCAATAAATATTATCTGAAACAATAATTTTTCTAGTTTTAGGGTCTCCATTCATGCCTGCTCTTTCGATTTTTGGCACTTCACCCCAATCAGTCCAAAATAATAATCTAAAATAAATTATTGATAAAGTGAGATTGTTTTTCATTGAATTATTATTACCCTTTCATAGGAACTACAGATATGGCACGCGGTTGGTCGATTTCAGTCCAAAAAAGGACTTTGCGGTGTTTTCCATCCAATGTGGACACTTCAATTCGGTTTGTTTCACTATCTGTCCAGTAAATATTGTCAGTGAACCAATCTATGGCTAAACCGTCAGGTACTAATACTCCATTTACTATTTCAGTCTGGAAAATATATCAGTAGGTAAATTTGGCTGAAACAATTCTAATTTGTAAGTTTCTGGCAAGTCACAAAAACAAATTTTAAAGTTGCAGAGTATCAAAAACTAGCATTAGTAAAACTATGAAGGTTTTACAGTAAAAAGTATTTTCTGAGGCCTATGAGACTTTAATTTTCATATCTATGGTAATTCTGAGACTAGCGATATTCTAAAGAGAATATAAGAAACACATTTTACTCCTCTAAAACAAGCCTAAGAGGATTTCTCAGATTTTTTTTATCTAGAACCTAAATATTCTCCAATACCTACCTTATTCTCTATAGAAGTTCCATTTAACTGACAACATTGTATACTTTCCAACTCGTGATCTGCCCAGCAAATCTTCTTATAATCATAGTGATAATCTATGGCCGAAATGTAGGTGTAATTCTTAACAATTGTGATTGCTTTTTTTGATTTGCTTGCAAAGCTCCAATTTAGAAGTCTTATGTCTTTTGTTGTCGAGTATAGGAGGCTCACTGGGGGGGTCAATGAAGATAAATGTCCTATAAAAAAGTTGATTTATAGGTTTATTTCAACAATTTCAGTTTTATAATGGCTCTATAGAACACCAACGTTTTTATAAACATTTCGAAAACGTTCTTAGAGGTTTTATAAGCACTGAATTGGCATAGATTTATAAAACAAATAGGCTGAAATAGTTCTGTAAATAGAATAATTTCTTTGAAATTCCTATTCACACAAAATTATTTTGTTATATATGCAACTAGATTTTTAGGTGTTCAAGATCGATACCTCGACAAAATTTCATGAACACAACAATCATGGAAGTCAAAATAACATGGCTAGGACTAAACAGGATTGACAAAAGCCAGGATTTTTGAAAATTTCCATTGGGTTTTTGTTGAGGTTTTTGTAGGATTCTGTATTTAACTTCGTTGACCAGTCAGAAACAACTACTCCGAAGGTAATACCTCTCTCCATCTAATCTAATAATTCTGTGTTTACTTGAAAATTTGTTTCATCATTTTAGTATTAAGATAGCTAGCTACCTTATGATTTAGATTTCTAAAAACTTTAAAAGATCATAACCGAGAAGTGTCCCATGGTCGGAAATAGGTGTACAAATCTCAAAATAATTTCCGAAAATAATGAGAAATTAAGGAAACTTCCTGTAAATTGTCAGAAATTATGTTAATTTTCAGAAAATAATAGGAAATGTTAAGAAATTTTGGGAAATTATTCAAAATTATAGAAAATTTACTGGAATTATTGTAGGAAATTGAGAAATTATCACCAGAAATCTTTGAGAATTTTTGTGTTTTGTTTCTGTTTGATGTATTGCGAATAAAAGTACGTAACAGCGTCCTTATTCTTGAAATACGGGAGCAGCGTTCTCAGGAGAACGAGTGTTTCGTCTTTGTTGCTTACATATGTTATGACTTATCATTGACGCAACAAACATTCTCCTGGGAATGCTGCTCCCCTATTTCAAGCATAAGGATCCCCTGATAACAAAATAAAGGTATGTATAGACACATAGAAGTATCACAGTATATGTATATCAGGATTTTTACCTACCCTTTGAATTTGACATGCAAAGCTGAAAACATAATATGTGTTTTTTGAGCCGAATCAAGCCATAATAAGGGTTGATTTGACGCTTTCATGTTTCATGTCAAAGAATAATTTTCTGAACTTTTCAGTAAGGCATACTTTTGATTATTTTCAAGATATATCAATTCATTAGAAGGTGAGAAGTTGGGATACGATGAAACCATAGAAGATAAGGTAATTACAGTCGACGAGGCGCTGGAAACCGAGATAGACCTTGTTGAAGAGAAGACAAATATGTCGCAATAGAAGAAGTGAAAGATCTGAACATAAAAGAATTCCTAAATCATGAAACGACTTTATCTTCATCATTTTTGAGAATAAGTAAGAAAGTTTACACTTTGCTGGTTATTCGAGGAAAAAAATGTTGCATCTCATTCTCAAGTGATCGTTTGATGAGAAACAGGGTAAAAAATTAAAACTCCTACTTCCATCTCTAGGGGAAAACGACTAAGTAAGCAAGGAGCAAATAAAAAGAGGGCAGAAAAAAAATAAAGAAACCAAAAAAGAAGGGTATCAAAACTGATACGATTTTTGAAGAAACTATGATGGATTCAAGTATAGAGCACACTTTGGAAAGCGAATATGGAAACTCTTGTTAAGAGGAAACAATTGAGGAAACCCCAAGAAAAACTCGAAAGGAAATTGGCTCGGGAAACGAAGAAATTGCCATTTTAGTTGAAAAGTATGATGTTTGCTATTATGACGATAAACGGTATATAGGTAGTGTGACAGACATTGGTAGAGATCATTGTACCATGAAAATCCTTAAAGAAGACATAGGAGTTTTTTATATGGCCTAAGAAACCAGACCATCAAAAAGTAATTTTGATTAGAGAAATTACCATTGCTAATCCATTAAAATGCCCCAAGATTGATAATTATTGAAGATTAAAACAAGAGAATTTAGCTTTCACTAGCGCATCTCGATATGTCGAGGAGTCGTCTTTATGCTACGAGGGGTGTTTGAAAAGTTAGCAGTTTAGCAGGGGGCGATGCAGGGAGTTTATAACTTTTTTATTTATGAGGATTTTGTCAAATTTTTCCCTTGTTAACTTTAAAACGAATCGAGATATCGAGATCGAGGCTCGCAAATGGGGGTCAGATTTTTTCCAACTCCTCTAGAAATACCTGAAACCAGCAAAAGCCATCGAATCTTGGACACCCTGTACATATTTCAGCAAAAAAATGTTCATTCCTAGAAACCTACAGTGAATATTATAGAGATGTTCGGAAATTTTGGGGAAAATTTCCTTCAGGTAATATTCAGGTGGAAATACAGAGGCGTCTGGACCAATAGGAAGCGAATTACAGTGATAATTTTGCACAAGTGCTAATGCTGATAATTTTTTTTCAGGTATTTTTTACCTGGCTCAAGGAGTTATTATCAGCTTTGTACACAGTAAATTAGACACAAATTATCAGCTTTCTATACAGTAGATTAGATTATTTCCAAATCGACGTTTGAGATCTCTTTGTATTGATCGGCGTAAGGTCTTTGATACTTTTATCAATATTAGCCGTTGAACTCTTCCAAAACGCGCCATATTTGCTTAAAAATTCGAAAATGAAACTTTTGATAAATTTGTTGATTGACAACATAGCAACATAATGATTGTTTTAAACAAGGTCCCATGTAAAATACTGCGAACAGGTACAAATAGTCAATGCCATAAAATAAAAACTTTGAGGACGTCTGACCCCCTTTTTGCAACGAACTAGACGTCTGACGATTTACATACGTTATCTGTGACCTTCAAACAGATAATGTGCAAAATTTCTATAAATTTTGAGCTTTGAGAAAACAGTCTAGATGCTTCTCAAAATTACAACTTTGCCCACGTCCTAGAGCCAGCTGTCCCGGAACTGTGACTGCTGACTGTACACTAGCATTCTAGCACTAAAGTACGACCTATTTTGAAAATATCCGCCTTGCGAAAACTCTTGCATGTTTTTGACGCCAGCTCCCCAACTATAAGGATTCAGGAAATTTTCTTATAAAATATAACTCGTGCAATGAAAATATATCTATAATTTTTGAAAAATTTGCACTCATGCGTTTTTAACTGAACTCTTTTTCAACTAAAAATGCATTCGGGCAAATTTCTCAAAAATTATCGATAATTTTCATTGCACTTGTTATATTACTACTGAAAAATTTAAAAATGTCTCAGAAATTTTGAAAATTATCAATGTTTGTATCAGAAATGTCAGAAATTTCATAGGAAATCAGTAATTATTTGGGGAATTTAGGAAATTATTCAGGAAGTTTAATAAATTATTTAGGAAATTTTAGAAATTATAGGAAATACTTTAAAAAATTCTGAATATTTAGGAAATTATGGGCAATATCAGAAGAAAAATTCCAAAAATAGGTGTACAAAATTCAGGAACGTGAGACACTTCTCGATCATAACTGTTCGAGTAAGTTTTTTAGATAGAAAGCTGAAAATATCAGTGATTCTTTTTCCAGTAGAGGGACTACAATCCCTGAAAATTTCAGCTCATTTGGACTTCCAGAAATAGAATCGTATTAAGCAATTTAGGCTGATTTATAAATTTTTCAATTTTTCTGAGTGCCTTTTTTAATAGAATCTGACTTCAAATCTGAGAATAATTTAGTGTATGAGTTTGGGGGATCCCAAAGAACCATTAGAACATAAAATCTCGAAAAAAAAAAAAAAAATTCATAGTTTTAGTAAGATGGTAGCTACCTTATGATTTATATTTTGGAAAACTTTGGAAGGTCATAACTTTTTTTCTATTATACATAGAAAGCTGAAATTTTCAGCGATTTTTATCCCAGTAGAGGAGTACAATCCCTGAAGCTTATTTGGACGTATAGTTCCAGAAATAAAATCGTGTTGAGCAATTTGGGGAGTTTTATCAATTTATCAATTTTTCTAGGTGACTTTTTTCATAGAATCTGGCCTGATGATTTAGATTTTGGAAAACTTTGAAAGGTCATAACTTTTTTTCTATTATACATAGAAAGCTGGAATTTTCAGTGATTCTTATCCTCCTGGGTCCTTATTCTTGAAACAGGGGAGCAGCGTTCCTAGGAGAACGTCTTTCTCAATGATATGCAACTGATAATATAAGTAACAAAGACGGAACACTCGTTCTCTCGGGAATGCTACTCCCTTGTTTCAAGAATAAGGACCCTGGAGAACTACAATCCCTGGGAATTTTCAAATCATTTGGACTAGTGTAATAGTTTTTTTCTCTTTACTACTTTAATTTTTCAGTGTGGATAATGTTATGGAACTTCCGGTCGAATATATTTTTTTTTATTAACCCGGAATTTCCGAATTATTATTCGTCCGGAAAATAATACACCATGTACCCCTGCAATGACACAATCATTCTATGGTACCGTAGCGAGGAGGGTCAAATTAACTTTTTGACGTATTTTTTGCATCTCTATCCGATAGAATTTTTTTTTTTTTGGAATTCGAAATTTGAATTTTTTTGATAAAAAAAATTCAAATGGTATACCTTTGATTTCTTTTTTTTTAATTTTAAAACGTCCTACTTAACTCGAAAACGAAAAGCTTGGGAGAAAAACTTCAAATGCAAAACTTATAGATCTCGTCGAGTACTACAAAAAAGCCTATGAGAAGTATCCCTCCAGGGGGCACTGTTTTCGAGAAAATCGACCTCGAAAATTTTAACAAAATTACAAGAAATTTCAACTTTGACGGCGAATATCTCAAAGACAAAAACGATCTGGAATCTCAATAAAAAATATTTTGTAGATAATTTCATCCTCTTTCAAGTGAGATATGACTCGAAACGATTGGTTAAGAAATAGCGGAGTTATAGGCGAAAAAGTGGTCTCGTGTCGGATACCCACAATTTTTTTTTGATCAAAATCGTAATTTCCTTTTTTATTTTTTTTCGGCCTTAAGATGTACCGTAGCGAGGAGGG